GCGTGAAGCCTTGGGGTACAGCAGTCAACAAACAGCTGCTCCCTGAATGTGCCAGTGGAAGTGAGAGACACTGAATGAGTAGAGAAAGACTTGTGTGGCACAGACGCGGTGTTGTTCCAACTGCTGTCAAGTCGACTGCGCACCTGTGTGTACAGGGCAGAACCCTACTCCCCAGGGGGACCTTTTGAGAGCAGGTTGCCAGACCTTTCTTCTGAGGCGCCCTGGAGTGGGTGCAAAGGGCCAACCTTTCTGTTAGTACGGAGTTAAATACTTGTACCCTCAACCCCACCTCCCGCCAGAACAACCTTTCTGTTAGTACGGAGTTAAATACTTAACTCGTACCCTCAACCCCACCTCCCGCCACTACAAGGTCAAGCTAAAGAGAGCATCTGCTAGCTTTTTGAGTAGGCTGGAGGCCATTAATTGTACGTATCAAAAGAAACAATGCTTTAAGGAATACAGGATCTTCTCAAAGCATTGAAGAGCAAGGGTGCCCGTTTGAAGACTGAGGTGCACCTAACCCAAGCCATGACATTTTCAATCGCCTCGAATGCAGTGCACGCTGGGCAATGCCTACAGAGGCTGAAAAAGAATTCATGCAATTGCATTGTGGTGTTGGCAACAAATATTGAAAGTGCTGTGAACTACCCGAAGAACAACCAAGTCTGTCTTTGAAGTACAGCCAGAATGCTCCTTAGAAGCAAGGAGGGCAAGACTTGGCTGACATGTGGTCACCAGAGACCAGTCTCCGGAGAAGGACGTCATGCTTGGAAAAGTACAGGGGCAGTGGAAGAGAGGGAGGCCTTTGACAAGCTGGATTGACAAGTGGCTGCAACAGTGGGCTCAAAAGTAGCAATTGTAAGGATGGTGTAGAAGCAGGCAGTGTTTTGTTCTGTTGTACATAGGTCTCTATGAGTCAGAACTGACCTGACGGCACTTAACCACAACAAAAGGAGCCATGTAGGTCAAGGGAATCAAGACCTGAGGCCTGGCGTTTTCCTTTTCCGGGGATAGCCGGAAAGCCAGTGGGCTGGAGGAGCAAGAGCAAGGGACAATCGATAAGGTGAGAGGGTTCCATGGGACCCTCGTCTGTAATGTTAGCTCCTCAAGGTGGCCCTGCCGGACTCAAAGAGCCACCATGGCTGTTGTAGAGTGGCCACCCGCTGCTGTCCCTGGTGGGCAAGCCCACTAGAGGGTGCTGCAGTCATCCAGTTCCGATGGTGTTGGCTTGGGTTCAGGCAAAAGCTGTGAGATGCTGTCTCTATTTGGAAAAGGGCCACCTGGGTCAGGTTTGGGGAGGAGCACGTGGGGTCTCTCAAGGGCGGTTTCAGCTGGAGACCCCGGTTAGCATCCGTGTATTGTCTCCCAGGAGTTGAGCATGATCGGGGTTTCAAGTGGTGTCAGCATAGAGAAGTGTCAAGGTTTGGGTTGAATTCTAGGGTGGGAGGCCCTCAGCACAAATGGTTAACACACATGGCCGCTTCCCTCAAAGGCTCATGGTTCAAGTCCACTCAAAGGCATCGTGGAGAAAAGCCCCTAGCGGTCTATTTTTGCAAAACCCGCTGCAGAAAACCCCGTGGAGCTCCGGTCCACGCAGACATACACGGCTCGCTGGGAGTCAGAACGGACTTCAGGGTGACTGCTAACGGTGCCAGAGGAACTAGGGTGTGCGTGGGAGTTGCTGGGTGACTAAGTACACCCATGGGACTAAGTACATATATGATACACATATCACTAAGTACATAGTCCGTTCTGTCAGTCATGGTTGGTGAACTATATTTAAAAAGCCGTCATAGATCCAATGTTTGGGGAAATCAATTTGCTATCTCATTTCCCTTCCAGGAATTTGTAGTGACTGATGCTAACGGGATTCTGGTGTGAGTTACCACCAGTCCGTGAACTCCGCCACTTCTCTCGGGCTGCAACCTCAGGGAGTCATTACGCAAACTGAACACAAGGGGGACCTCGCGTCCGTATTTATGAGAGCGATGGGCGGGCGGTTCCTGTGCGAGAGGTTACAACAGTTCTTACTGTCATGGAGTCTAAAGGGACCCTATAGGGCAGGGTAGAACTGTCGCTGTGGGTTTCCAAGACTAACTGTTCCTGGAAGTTAGAAGGCCTTGTCTTTCTCCCGCAGATCGGCTGGGGGTGTCAAAAGGCAGACCTTGTGGCTAGCATACAGCTCACACATCAGCCGAAACTAGGACTCCAGCACCGTTCTCAGAACGCTCTTGTCTGTAGAGCAACTGCTCATGCCGTTGTTATTTGCTGCCAGGAGGCTGACTCCTGGCTCTCGGGGTGGAGGGTACAACTCCTGTGGGGGGGTTCGGGCTGGCAGGTTTCCAAACGGCCCTGGGTGGGTTCAGATGGCAGCCGAGCACTTAACTGTTGAGGCAGTAAAGGTGGTCTTAACTATTTCCACGTGTTCCTTTGGCGAGGCTTAGCCCAGGCGTTGGCAAACTTCGACATGCAAGAGCCAATCCTGTCTCTCTCAACAATTAGAAAAAAATTATTCGAGAGCCATAACGATATTTTTGCAAGCAAATGAAGTCATCATCTTTTATCCTTGAACAGGTTTTTCATTTTACTTCTGAGCCATAGGTACATCCGAGCCGCATGTGGCTGCAGCTCACCGACCCCAGCCTGTGCGGCTGTCATGGTATTTGTATCTTTCACTAAGAAACAAGTCCAGTAAGAATTTGATGGGGGGGAAAAAGAATTTGGTGGAAACCTTTACATGTCTCTAAAACCAAGCTGACACCTGAGAGTCGATTCTGATCATTGGCCAGAGTAGAGCTGCCCCAGAGAGTTTCCAAGGTTGGAATCTTGGTGGAAGCCAACTGCCGACCTTTAGCACAGGAGTGCTTTAGCCAACGAGTGACCAGGGCTCCTGTATATATATGTAGGGTGGAGAACTGCCCCTGTGGGTTTCTGAGCCTGTCACTCTTCCCGGGAGCCAAAAGCCTCATCTTTCTCCCTCGGAGCTGCAGGTGACCTTGCACTGAATAAGCAGCCCAAGGCTTGTCATCCACGACCCCACCAGGGCACAGGTCGAACGAGAAGACTCGGCCGAAATGTTCCCTTAAGTTTTTAAAGTTAGGAATCTTTCTCAGGCTCATTTGACTTTTATGGATCAACTATGGGATTCTAATTCAGCTCAAAAACAAACAAGCAAGCAAAAAGAGCCAGAACCCCACCAGCTGCATCACAGAAGACCCCAGTCTCTTTTAGTAAAAAAGCCACACGTTTATTGCAAATCTAGAAGTACCAGGAAGTCACAGACATGGAACCAGTGGGCCCACCTTCCTTCCTGGATTATTGGCAGACGGAAAAGGGCATACATGTTGTTTTCATGCAGTTGGTAGAATGGGCACAGAGCAGACCCCTCGGAAACCAGTAATAAATATTAAGTTGCATCGAAATTCATCGTAAACAAACAACACGTAGTAAAGTGCTGACGTCGTGCCGGTCTGTACAACCGCCACGAACTCAGTCCTTCTCAAGGGTGACGAGGGATTGCTACATCCACCTTGCCTGCGTTTTCCTGCCACCTTATATACCGCCCCCTTCCCCCACCCCCCAAAGATTAAAGATTGTCCTGTTTCTATGGCTGATAAGACGCTCTACAAAACGCAGCTGGTGGCGGTGAGCTCCGCCCCTTTCATTCAGTGCAGAGAAATATTCAAGCTTGTGTGTACCTGCAACCCAAACTAGGCTGTTACACTCTTGGCCCTGAGTTGTCACAAAGTAACAGTGAAGATGAGCACAGATGGAGCACCTGCTCAGGTGAGAGTCAGGATACATACGCCTGCCTGGTCTCCCTCCCCGCGCCCCACGGACAGGAACATGCTACAAGGAGAAAGGTGTCCGTGCCGGTGGCTCCCTCGGAAACTATGGGCGATAACCACGGGGACTCAGTCTGGTCAAGTCTCGATCGCTCTGTACCGTGGGCGCTGACGGTGAGCAGGATGTTTCTGCTTCTCCCGTGTGAATAAGAGATTAGTTAACAGTTGGATGGGGGGAGGGGACGTTTAGGGGAAAAACAAGAAACAAATACTGCAGCCATTCAAGGAAACCAAATTCTTTCTGATCAGAGGAGATTCTCAATTGATCTTAGGTGGTGAAACAAAATCACTGTAAAGAGCTTCCATGGCTGGCTGTCACCCTCCTCCCGTCCATCCCACACACTGCCTTTCAACAGACTGCGGATGCGCTGTGTTCTGACTCGGCCTTGCAGGAGTGTCATGGCACAAGACAAGAAGGGCTCTCTGAGGCATCGAGAGGGTTACAGAAAGGAGGTGAAAATACAGATGATGCCCCAGATCTGACTTCTTTTGATTAATAACTTAATAATAAATAGTGGTTTCAATGAAAGAGACTCACTTAAAACGCACTGCCCTGGAGTCGATGCGGACTCACAGGGACCCTGTAGGACAAGGTAGAACTACCCCTGCGAGTCTCCAAGACTGCTCTTCGCTGGAATAGAAACTTCATCTTTCTTCTGAGGCGCCGCTGATGGTTTCGGACTGCTGACCTTGGAGTCGGCGGTCCAGCACGTAACCACTGCACCACCAGGGCTCATGCATGAAGGACGACGCTACAACCGCCTTTTCTGAACAATTAAGAAGCAATAGGAAACACCATTTTGAGGCCATCCCAAGCCTTCCCCATTGAAACACTTGCGGGTAGTGACCGTCCATAGAAAGACAGTGGCAACTCTCACATTCAGGAAATTCAAGTTCTAGAAACATTTTCTGTTTGTCAGCCGGAAGTTTGGTCTTAGATGGGGTTTCGTCTCCAGGAAAGGTCTGGAAAGTCCAGAGGTCAGACTTGGTCAGCAGAAACTTCTGTGTTGTGCAATCCACCACCATCGATTCTGTTTGCACTCCCAGCCACCCCAGAGGACAAGGTAGACCTGCCCCCCTGGGTTCCTGAGGCTGTGGCTTTTGATGGGAGTAGAAAGCCTCATTTTTCTCGAGGAGCAGCTGGTGGATTGGAACTGCTGGCCTTGTGGTAAGCGGGCCAATGCTTAACCCACCATGCCACCAGGGCCCCTGTGTTAACCAAAGGGTATTTAACAATTTATTGGTCATCTTGAAAATTAGCCAGGACGATTTCTTTCTGAGGAGGGGGTGGCCAATTTCCTTGCAGTGACCGGGGTGAATTGCTATTTGATGACTATCGTTGGTCACCAGGGAGAGTTTTTAAAACGACTTTGCCAATTCAAATCACGATTTGAAAACTGGACCAGAGAGGCCTCTGTCTTGCTAGGGCGGAATCTAGCTGGATGGAGGTCAGGAAGGATGCTTGGGAAAAGTAAACAGAAGGGCGTCCTGTTGATCCCACGTGGGGTGGGGGGGCATCAGAAAGCTGGCGGGCAAAGGGAATGGAAAGGTCGTGCATGGACTCTCTCCCCACCGTCTTGGTGAAGCCCCCGTGTAGGGTCCGCTTCAAAGGTATTTTGAAAGGAGGGCGCAACGTTAGCTGCTCGCCTCACCCTGCACCCTCCCACCCGGCAGTGGCGGGGCGACCGTCGCAGGATAGCCAGTCAGATGGGCATCTTTTGCATCTGCAGGCCCTGCTCATTCTTCTCGAGGTCCATTTCCAGAAACTCCTCGGGGATGTCTTGTAAAGCGTTCCCGGGCCGGCCCTCTGCCTTGGCTTGCCTGGGATGAGGGCGCTGGCACAGCCCTTGCCGGCAGGGTCTCACCAGGGCCAGGCACACAGCCGCCAGCAACATGCCAGCCGCGCAGGAGTAGAAGGCCCTGCTGTACACTTTGCTTTGGTCCACCAGCAGACCTGTGCAGAAGCAGTGATAGCTGTTAGCAATGGCCCTCCCACTGCCCATAAACCCTCTCCCTGCACCCCGCTGGCCTCCCAGCACACTCAGAAGCATCTCAGCATCTCAGCTCTCTACCATCTTGTCTCGAAAGCAGAAAGGGTGTGGTTAGGAGACTTACCTAGCTGGCTGAGAAAACCAAAGACCAAACAAACTCACTGCCATCGAGAGTTGATGGCGACTCACTGCGACCCTAGAGGGCCCTGTGAGTTTCCCGGACTAAAACTTTAGGAGCGGCTGGTGGTTTCGAACTGCTGACCTTGCCGTTAGCAGCCCGATGCACCACCACCACCACCACGCCATGAGGAAATAGAGATAGTAATTCACATGCATCCAAAACACTGGAGCCCCAGTGGCATGGTGGGTTACCCATGTGCTGGGCTTGCCAACAAGCTAGGTCGACAGTCTGAATCCAACCACCGAGGAAGAAGAGGCTGTCTGCTCCAGGAAAGACTGACGGCCTCCGAAGCCCACTGGGGCAGCCCTACTTTGTCTCACAGGGTCACACCGAGTCACCATGAGCTCAATGGTAGTTGGCTTTGGTATTTTTAGACAAGTGGCTCACATGTCCCTCCATGGGCTACGCCTGTCCTCATAAAGAAGAACTCGTGGGGCAGCTTCTTGGGAAATGCACGCTTCAGAAGAAAGGACAGGCTAGCCCTTCTCATTCGTTGGTTCTGGGCATCTTTCAGCACGGAGCCAATCACAGCCAAGACATTCAGGGCCTATTTCTGATCCACAGGGTGAACCCTCACGCCTCTCCCGGAAGGAAATAGTCAATAGGAACAGACGAGGAAGCTCTAGTGATGGACGCAGTAGTCACATGCTGGGCTGCTAACCACAAGGTCAGCAGTTCAAAACAACCAGCCACTCCGCTCCTACTTCTGTAAAGAGTTACACTCTTGGAAACCCGCAGGGCAGTTCGACAGTGAGCTTGTTTTTGTTGTTGTTAAATCAATGTCTACGGCTGCTGTGTGTTCAGTTCCCCAACACCTACCCCGCTGAGAAGCAGAGATGACTGTCACCCCCAAACCTCCCTTGCTGCCCTCGACTCACAGCAACCCTCCCGGACAGAGAACTGCCCCCACGGGTTTCAGAAGCTGTAAACCTTTAAGGGAGGAGAAAGGGTTAGCTTCCTCCTGTGGAGCAGCTGGTGGTTTTGAACTGCTGGTCTTGTGGCTAACAATCCAACTTGTAACCCCACTATGCTACCAGAGCTCCTCTAAGAATGATTCATCGAAGGCCCTTATGTCCATTGTCCTGCGGGTCAGATCTTAGGGCCACATGGACTGAAGACAAGCCACTGCCGTCAGTTGGTTCTGACTCATGATGACCCTACAGGGGAGGGCAGAATGGCCCCTGTGGCTTTCAAAAGAGGCTGTAAACCTTTACGGGGGCAGAAAAGCCTCGGGAAGCTGGGAGATTCTTCTAGTTGTTGACCTGGCTATGGACAGGCCAACTGAGAGCCTTCGCCGCCGCCGTGGTTCCTGTGGACTGCAGAGAGAGGTTCTAGTTCTGCCTCGGTCTCGAACATGCCACTTGGCCTTGGCTGAAACTGAGAGGGTTGGCTTATGTAATCGCTCCTTTCTGCTGTGGCATGGAAACCCCAACGCACAGCAGAATGAAACGCTGCCCACGCCTGGCCATCCCCACGAGGGGTCAGAGACCAGACGGCGGGATGCCAGGGCTTGTCACTGGCTGATTCTGGCCACGGAGAAACCCAGGCCCTTCTTCATAGTCTGCCTTCGGCCGGCAGCTCCACTGAAACTGAGTCAGCACCCCCATGGCACACGGGCCAGCGGGCCAGTGGCTGGGCATCACAGTAAGGATGCTACTATGAGGCCGCTGACTGGCACTGCCCTCACTGCCCTTGAGCCCACTCCAACGAGCAGCGACCCGCTCGGGCAGCCTAGGAACTGCTCCTGTGGCTTTTGGAGGCTGCGGATCTTTATAGGTAGGAACAGCCAGCCTCAGCCTCCTCACAAGGAGTGGCTGGTGGGTTCGAACTGCTGTCGTTGCGGCTAGCAGCCCAACGCGTAACCCACTATGCCATCAGGACTCCTGCAGTTTGGAAAACCGGTCGGTTTGTCGGCAGCCTGGGTCAGGAAGGCAGCACAGCGACGGCTGAGGGGCTAGCAAGAGGCGGAGGGTTTGAATTACCTGCCAGCGGGGGCCCGGCCAGGCCTGACACACTCTGGATGAAGACGTAGACGCCAGCAGCGGAGGCCATCCTCTCGATGCCCACAACGTCCTCCTCCGCCAGCAGCGGGATGTGGGTGCCGCCCACGGTCCCCACCATGCACCCAAAGAAGACGCTACAGGACATCAGACCCCAGAATTCAGTAGCACATGTGAAGGCAAACAGGGAGGCGGTCAGTAAGAGGACGCAGAAGAGCTCGATGTAGATCTTCCGGATGGGCTCTCTGTTGAGGACCACGCCGGCTCCGATCCGCCCGAAGACCTCGGCGATGGCCATGGTGGACAGGATGAAGGCCGCCTGCTCCTGCTCGAGGCCCAGGCTAACGCCCAGAGGGATGATGTACAGGGCGGGCGCGAAGAAGCCCAGGGTGGCAAAAAGACCAAACAGTGCGTAACAGATGAAACTCTTCTCGCGCAAAATGGAGAAGTCGAGCAGGGGGCCCTGCGCCTGGCTCTGCCTGGAGCCGCCCTTCACCAGGCCCTGCTGCGCCTCCGCCCCGGGCTCGGGCGCCACGCCGGCGGGGCCAGGCACATTCTTAGGTGAGGTAGTGAGCTCCACTCCGGAGTCGATGGAGTCGATGGAGGTGCGCGTCTTCTCGTTCTCCAGCATGCACTGCACCTCCTTCCGCAGCTCCTGGGGGGCCGCCTGCGGGGATCCCGGTGCACGGATGAGGATGGGCCGGAGCAGCAGTCCGCAGATGATGATGTTGGCCTGCAGCAGGCCCACG